CCCCCAATTCCCGGTAAACAGGCCAGACCATATCACAGTAATCTCGTGAGTGGGTTCTTTAACGTCCCCTGCCTAACCAAATTAACTAATTAATAGATGCAGGAGACGGGACCTACAGTTTATTCGTCCTTATCCAAGAAGACTAGAATGTCTATCCATTTCTTATTAAAGAAAGGTAGCGTATTCTCCTCAGTTATTTTAAGACCTTGAGTGTTGGTCCGGCTAACAAACAAACGGTCCACAAAACTGACGTATACGTAGCATTGTGAGTAGGGATGAAATATTTGTGAGAAATGGAAATACTAGACTAAGTGTTCTTTTTGAAATGAATTTGAAATGAATTTAAAGTGAATAGCGAAAAGTTTATTGTATACGCTCATTCTAATTTTGTGGTATTGAATTCAGTGTAGGTGTATGTGGAATTCAGCTTCAACCTTTCTACATAACCACTACAAAAAATTGCTCTGTTTTATGCTAAGTTCGTTGGGCCTTCATGCGTGGTTGTTGAGTGAGCAAAGTTTAGAAGAAGTCAAAATTCTCCTTGCCAAAACATCTATGGCGCTGGCACAGTCTACAAAGTATTTCCCATTCAATAGTAGTCACAAAACAAAATTAAAACAATTCGCACCATCATTTTTCTCCTCGTATTTGGTCTTCTGTCTTTCATAGCAAGCTTTTAGCTCCTACAATAACGCCAAAAAATCAAAGACATTAAAAACTCTCCCAAAAGCGTCTGGATATTGTTAGAAATAAGTGAGCCATACACACAAAACCATCAAAAAACAAACTATTACTAAATTAGTACTACGTGTATAAATGGAATTCATTGAGATGCTCAAGTGCTTTAGCTTAGATTCAGACTTGTACCTTCAAAATATCCATGGCTTGATCTGGTTCGGTGAACAAATTCAAGACCATGTGCGAAAACAGCAGTTCAAAAACCTCATCCTCATGCCGAATTTCTCCACTTTTTCTTCTCTGTCAAAGATAACATAAAAATGTATCTGGGTGTATTTTTTGGGTAACTTTCCAAAGAAACTGTTGTGCTGCGTCGGTGGGGGAGTGTAACAACTTAAGATAACTCGTCAGAGCGAAAGGGCTAACGCTCGAAACGTCAGCTTCTAAACTCTTTACGATGGCCAATTTTCATTATCAATTAAATTGATAAAACCAAATCATCTTGTATATGTGTGTGTACTTTGCCGTTCCCAATGTTCGTCTTCTAACAAAACTAGCAAGTCAAAACAAAGCAGAGCAAAACAAAACACCAAATTAAAAAGCTATAATCTATAATTCGAAATAAGTACCTTTTTGCGAATCTTTTCAATGTTATGTACTGCTTTCTTGAACGCTTTTCCTGCCTGAAAGAAATGAGGAACCAAGAAAACAAAATTAGCATTCTCCACAACTTCACTATAAATGGCGAAGGATTTATCAAAAAATACGCGCTCGTCGGGAAAATGGTACCGCCATCCTATTATGAGCATTAACCACAGACTAGAGGTTAGTAACCTCTTTCTTGTTTCTTACCTATATAAAGAGGAGACATTTTTGTCTAATAACAGTTTTGTTGAGAAATACTTAGCACAGAATCTCAGAGTAAACTAAAAGTGACCTATAACTGCTTATAGGTCAACATGACGCTTACGCTTTAGGCTTTATATTCTTTCCAACACTTTGTTACCCACTCAAATATGTCATTTCTGTCACTTAATCACAATTAATTATGCACGTTTCGCCTAGTTGTTATAATTATAGTCCTAACGGTTTTTCGAATATTCTGTAAGTGATGATGATGTTCGTAACATCGAAACATGTCTTCGAAATTACAAAACGTCGTACTCTTCTTGAAAATAACTGCTTGTCTCCGTGACCTGCATGAAGCGATCAGGAGAACACCGAACCCCCGATCTGTCGTCCTCTTTTCGGAGGAGAGCGGTAGTGAAAATGCGCATGCGTCGGTAGGCGTAAACTCTTACGCTTACAAACAGACCACAAGGTAAACAGTCGAGTGTAAGGAAAAGTTGGACAAGAATTCAAACACCACAACTACCTCTTCCGTCCACGCATCAGAAGCCACTTTATATTCACCATTCTCAAGAAGGTCCTGTCCGAAACATAACACAAAGAAGGTAAACCATCAGTCCACACCGAAATTTAATGCTTTGAGAAAGAGAGGACCAAAAACAAAGAGAGTTTTCTCAACGGTGAACAACAAGTTACAATAGCAACAACATCAAGAATTTATATGCCATTCATACCAAAATGTATTTCTACGTGTACAGTACCTTTAAAAAAAATTTTGGCGGAAGACTTCTGGAGAATTTTCCAGTCGACAGCCGTTTGTAAGGTTAATATGTTAAATTTACTCTAAATCTAGTGTGAGGTACGATATGTAGGCCTGTTTTAGACGTTTTGGCAGAACACACACAAATTTAAGATCGAGTCGGTATAAGCCATGAAGAGTCTAACTACATGTATTGCAATTAAAGAATAAAAGCCAGTACCTTAGCATGTTGTACAATAACATGGAGCTCAAACGACTTCATTTCTTTACTAGATGATAAGTCTTTTAATGCACTAACAAATCTCTGTTCACAGATCTGTCTTACTGAAGGCGGTAAAGTTTCCTGTCATTTGTGCAGTACAAAGAAAAACAAAACATGTATTTAGCAGTTTTGAATGTCAGTATCTGAAAACATAAATTAAAGTATCCATAACTTCATAGTTCGCATACGAAGAAAAAGCTCTGTAATATTTAATATTTAAATTTTTATCACATTAACAATCATTGATAATTTCCTTGAGAGAGAAAATAACAGAGACTATCTTTTGTATTTATGTGAATTCCATGCAAGCCAAGAAAGCGCAATCTCTTGATGGAAAACTTCATGATTGAAAGAATCGATCATTCTTTTCAAAGGGCAATACTGGCATTTATTACACGACTCCGGCAGTCAGAGGGCCAATAACTAAAATCGACCAATCAAAATGCACTATTGCCGGTCAATATTCTCTCAGTATTGGACCGGACACTGTCCTGAATGGTCCCGAATGATACCACACTTATGTCTCTTTAAACTTCAGTCATAAAATAAATCTCTTATTAACCAAGCTTGTTCAGGACCGTACTGGAAGAATATTGGCCCTTGGTCTTTTTTGTATGGACCGAGCGCAGCTCAGTCCATACAAAAAGACCAAGGGCCAATATTCTCCCAGTACGGCCCTCGCGCTTGGTTAATAAGATATATTTCTTAACAGCTCTACATAAACAATACATTAACCTCCTTTCATTATTTGAATTGGGGTGTTTCGTAAGGATATCCAGCCCTGATAAAAGCCGTGACTGCACATGTGTAAAATAACGATATTTTTTTACATGTGTTTGATATCGCCAATCAGCTGCTAACACATCACTCGCCTTTTGCGCCACTCTTCCAGTTAATGAATGAATGACACAAGTTCACCAATCTCAATCCAAGATTGTTTTTTCATTCATTAATAAAGTTGCCTTTTCTTGTCGGTAAAGGCATATTGTGTTTATACAATGAATATACATATTGTGTTAATACATGGTTGCTTGTAGATACGAAAATTCTCCCTTGTTCACTCAACAGATATTGAGTTGAACACTTGCTTTTGATTTACTTGCTGTGGCTGTCAAAATTATTATACTAACGTTTCGGTCCTTTTCAACTGGTAAAAAATATGCTTGCTTAAGGAAGAAGAAAAGCACATCTTGTAACCAATTTCCCTCGTGTACACCTGACTTCTTCTTGACCAACTGGTACAGCTGATGCAGTATAAACATAAAACAAAAGGGAAGTTAATTTTACACCGCAAACACATGGTGTCAATTTGAAATAGCCAAATAGAGACAGATTAAGAGCTGAATTATCAACAATACTAACTTGGTTTAAAACTGCAATCCTTATTGACTCTTCACTCTTTATTGAGGAGCTAGAGAGAAAAAAACCGTTACATAGTGGCAAACTATTTTGAAAACAAAGATGCTACACTGCCAATGAAAAGTTCACAGCTCTACAGGCTGACTGTCCAAGATAGACAGACAGATGCAAAGACAGTTTGACAGACAGACAAACACACTGACAGACAGCTGACGCACACCTTCATGTATGCACAAACAAACACACACAGAGACAGAGGAACTTCTCCAAAGTGGCCTCCTAGGGGACTGAGGAAAATGGTCCTTGACAGATGACTGTTACAGGGAGATCTAGGTGCTCTTTGGGAGGGAGCAAGAGGTTGTTATGTAGAGGTAGCTGATCAGTGTTCTGCTGTAACACCAGTGGCCATGTTCCTAACTAGCAACAAATGTGCTAATAACAGTTGTACGAGAAAATACATTCATTTTAATATATTTTCATATAATCTTACACTGATTCTGTAGATACTTGAACAACTCCTTTCTCAAAAATATTAAGAAGCCATGCTACAAACATCTGTAGTCCTGATCCTTGAAGCTGTCAAAAAAAAGAGAGGAAAACAGAGCATAGCAAAGATCAACAATCAAAACATTAAAATAATGATTTCCATTCAAAACTGCTCAACTCAACATGGCAACAGCTGTTTTCATCTCAAGCAAAATAAAAGAAGCAGAACCATCTGTACAGCAGAGTGATATATAGCCCATTAGTAAAGTCCATCAAAATCCTAACTTACTGTTCCGAGTAAACTGTCCACAGTTCTTGTTTTAGTCAACTTGTCAAAATGCATAATACCATGTCTGATAAGGAAAAAAACAAACAAAACCAGAAACAAATTGCATATAAGTTGCTATTTAAGTGGTTTCTGTAAATGGGTCTTACGAGTATGGTGACCCTCACCTGTCAGACTTAATCCCAGTTTCTACTCCAAAAAGTAACTTGGAGCATTGCATCTCCTTATGAAGAGGATGCTAATCCATCACAGATGGTTCCCTTAGTATCCAAAGTTTTCCTGACACTTAAACCACTGGTACCCATTCTTTTATACTAAGGTAGACATGTACAGTGTATAAGTACTGCGAACATAAATTTTTTTTCTGTCCAGTAACACAGTACAAAGTTTCTTTTATGGCTAACTACTTTGTTTCATTATTTCACTTGCTAAAGTTGCAGCACTGTACCTTCCTAAAAGCTGTTTTAATACCAAAACTGAAACTCCAGGATCTGTGCTCTGGTTCACTATTGAAGGAAGACTTGAAGCCTACAGTAATGCAAACAGAAGTTAAAACCAGGCAGTAAACTAAAAAGCAAAACAGGTGATGCTTCAATTAGTTTTTCAAAAGTATGGGCCAAAATACAATGGGGCCTGGTTTTCAGTACCCAGACAGTTCTGCTTGACAATCAAATGCTCAGCCAAATTGGGCCACAAAATGCCCGCAAATATGCCACTCCATGATAATATCCCCCAACTCCATATTTGTAGCTCAGTCTATAAAAGTAGGCTTTTATTACCAACTGTTTCGCTGCCTCATGGAGATAACTCTGTGACGACGACAGACTGTTTATAAAGCTCCTCATCATGTGAGCACCAAACACAACAGACACCTGAATAAAAGGAACCAGTGAAGGTAAATACAAATGTGCAAAATGGAGATATTCTTGAAAAGGGTTAAATCTCAAGTTTCATTTACAGGAGAATTTATCCCAGTTGTGGAAGTATAACCCAGAAAATATCTCTCCTTGGACAGGATCGATCCCAGTCCAACCTTCCCAAACTTTGTCAGCTGCCCTAGGCAGTTTGCAGCTAAATTGCTATTGGATTGAAGTTACAAAAAAAAAATGGTGAACAGTTTAAATCATTTTTCTGATGGCAAAGAGAAGCAACATGAGAGTACTGTGTATTATTATTCAACTACACTCTGTAGAGCACAAATAATGCCCAAGATGAGTACAAATATCACACAATATTTGTACTCCAGAGAACCGGTTAGACAGGTTTTCTCCCATCCTGCAAGCAATGAATTGGATTGAAGTTACAAAAAATAAGCTGAACAGTTTAATTTTTTGATGACAAAGAGTGGGAATGCCTAGCGAATATTGATCTAAGTTTAATAGATAAATCAAACAAAGCAATAAATTGCTTCAGCAGGGTTTTAATCTACACTCTTGAACCTAAATCCAACACACTCACATGTACCACCAGTCCCCCTATGCATGTGACGTGGAGCCAAGTACACAATGGTAAATATTACATGAAGCAATTGGTGTGGTTGATAATTTGCATTGCCAACTAGAGTCAATAAGTGTGCAGCAAGCAAATGGTAACCTCTCACCTCTTTTTCACTGAGTTGAGGCAATATTTTCTTTACTAGCTGAAACCCCAAAAACTTTCTATCATGTGTCGACTGAAACAAGCCATCTGTAGAGTAAAAGTGAAATCTTACTAATTAATGAAGATAAATAAATGGAATGACTTTGATTTATATATTGTATTGTACAGTTGTACATAAATATGACAAATGAATTTAGCAATTGTAAATTACTTTATTTGAATTTCAAGTTTACTTATTTTTCCATACCAAATATATACTTAGCAGTACACAGTCAATGTACTGTTTACAGCTCAAAATCATCTCAAATTAAAATCAATGAAACTGATTTAATTTTACATGGATTATGTCAATGTGCATGGCACAAACTTAAGGAAAAATTAAAAACTGTTAACAACTATTTTACCTGCTATTCATATTTAACTATTGCATAATATATACATGTGGTGATAAATCATGTTCTACCTTCCACGACTGTATTCCAGAACATCTGAAAGTCACCAGATGAATTCTTAAGTACTGCAAGGAAAATTTCATCCCAAACACAATGGACCCTTGGATGGGATGAAATGGAATCCTAGTACAAGTCACAGACAAAAAAGGCAAGCAAACAATTAATACCATTAATATCATATTAATATCAATTAATACCATGCTTTCGAGGATCAGAGATGGAGGTTTAGGCCAAGACTGTCAACTTACTTTTATGCAGTACTGTACATCATTTTTCTGAAAAATGGCTTCCTTGATAATTGTACATTGTAGGGGTCAAATTCAATTATAGCCATTTAACTCCCAGAAGTGATTAACAAGTAACTTCTCCCTATAATATCCCTATGTTATCTAGCAAGCAGGTAATGAGAATACTCAAACATATCAGGTAGAAATTGATATCTTGGTGTAACATCAAATTCTCCTTACTGAAATGTGTAGCAGCTAGAGGAGAGAATTAAAAATCAGATCTCAGAAGTTTATGGGGTTTGTAACTGAGAGAAGCATTTATTTTGAAAAAGAGGAATAAGCCATAGCATGATGATTTTGACAACAACACATACCTGCAGGACAGTGTACATTTGCTTGTAATTTTGCTTGTCAGCTATGAGTGGACTTTTCCATGCAACCTTCATCACTTTCTTATCCAAATGCTCCTGAGGTAAGGAAAGGATATTAAAAGTGAAACAAAGAATTCAAGTGACATGTTATTTTACTGCTATTATATTTATTTTGTTTATAATGTAACAGTTGCATTAACTAAATGTCGGCATATGCAGTTGATTCAAGAAACATGACAGGACCTTTCGATAATAAATTGAGACATTTTTAATACATCACCCCAAATAAAAACCTTGACCACTTTCAAGACCTTGACATTTTAAAAGTCAACTATTAAAAGTCAGCTAAATCTCTTACAACCAAATAAAAGGTACCGGTACATTATAATTATTATAATGAACACCATTTCAATACACACCCCCCAGGACCTCTGAAGTGCCAAGGAAATAAGAAGTGTTTCAGGTGTAGCCTGTACCCAGCCACTTTCAACGATCTCCTTGACAGATGGATACACCCAATTTGTAAACATATCCTCAGACACCTGTAACCAAGAGAAAGAAGAGGTACTGGAATGAGTTATCCATTAATCCCTGTTATATACTAGAGTATAAATCATGGTTCAGATTCTAGTCAGGTTTTCTATTTTTGGTTCCCTTTGTCTTGGAATCATTGTTATATTGTCAAACAAAAGAAAAAAAATTCAAATTGAATATTGTAGACCAAGAAAATTTTTTAACCCCACTTCTTGACATAAATTATGCCACAGTCAGAATGAATTTCTGGTAGACAGTGTTTCAAACAAGTTTTGATTTACATTTTCCTTATGATAGAGTACATGAAAGATAGGAAACTATATTTCAAAATAATTTAAAATCAGTTTGAGTCCTTTAAATTCACTATGAACCAAAACATCAAAATGTTTGAGCTACATTTGTGCACAAGTACCTATAAATCATTTACAGCTGTAGCTTATCTGATTGAATTGCATCATTGAAGAAAATCTTGCATTCTAATTGGTTAACAAAGCGAGGTATTTAGCATGGAATTGTGAGTTGAAAATGAGGCTATGTGATACTGTTTTGCTTCCACATACACATAATAACTATATATTAAGTAATGCTGTTTTCTTTTTTTTCTTGTTTTAATTCAGTTACACTATTCAAATAAAATCTATTACTTGACTTATGAATTCTGTGTTAAATTGCACTGTCTTGAAAACCAATATCGCACTCATCGCTTTGTGATTCGTGCAATATCGGCTTTCGCATGCAGTTTAATGTGGAATTCCCTCTTCAAGTAATGGATTTTCCTATAGAATCATTGATGACATACTGTAATAGATATTTAATATGAACACAAACTGACTGATTTCTTTATCATCATAAAAGGCTACACAAGATGCTACTCACCAAAGGAAATATGTCCACAATGACCTTGGCACAGAGCTCTTGTAAATAACTCTTCTTTTTGCTCAATTCTATAACTTTGGATATGAGCAAACCCAGCCAGTTTGGGTCAAGAGTCTAAAAGCAAAGCAAAATTGCAATCAAAACAATTTTGTTGCCTGAATATTGAAAGACTGCCGAGTTTGAAAATGTATATCCCTCTTTAAGACAAACTCCCCAACACTTTTAAAAAACCATTAATTAGTCAATTTTAAATAGGCTAACTATCAGAACTAAAAACGGATATGGCACAAGTAACACTTACAGAGATTTTACCATGATCACATTGAGACCTCAATACAGACACCATGCCAAATATCTGCCCTATGTAGCGATCTTTTTCTTCCTGATATGAAAAACAACAAGTTTGAAAAACAGACATTTATTGTAATAATAATAATATAATAATAATAATAAATTTTATTTATATAGTGCACATATCCTGTGCTCAAGGCACTTTACAATGTTTATATAAAATAAATTATTAAAAACTAGATCATTAGATAATGCAATTCAAGACATTTTATTGGCTTAGCCATTATGGTATATCAGCCAATATACCATAATCTACAAATATGGCAAGCATACGTGTCAGTTTAAAATTAATAGGGTGCTAAAAATTTAATAAAATTTAATAAAATTTAATAACTTGATTTAACATTTTTAATAAAATAATTATTTCACTCACTCTTGTTGGATATGAGATAATTGTAGCCAACTCGGCGTTACGCGCCTCGTTGGCTATCTATCATCTCATATCCAATGCACGCTTGTGGAATAATTGTTAAATATATTAAGCTAAAAGTAAATACAATAATACAATCAAGCTAAATGACTATATAGTAATAGATATAATACTATTGTAAATATGATTTTAATATGCATAAAACTATAGGCAAACTTTAAAATAACGGGCAATCATCAACATATTTAGTAAAAAGATAGGTTTTCAGTCTTTTCTTAAAGTTTCCAACAGTGTTAAGGTTACGTAGGTCATATGGTAAGCTGTTCCAAAGTCTTGGGGCCAGGTTCGAAAATGCTCTATCCCCATAAGTTTTTGTATATGACCTAGGTTCTTTTAATAACGAGTTTGAAACAGATCTAAGTGATCTGGAGTACTGTCTGTACTGGAGTTTCTCTCTTAAATACTCTGGTGCATTATCATTAAGACAGTTCAATACAATGAGTAAAATCTTGAATATAGATCTATAATAGACAGGTAACCAAAGGAGTTCCTGTAACATTGGTGTAATATGGTCGTATTTACGTCCTTGGCACACCACTCTGGCTGCAGTATTCTGGGCATATTGCAACCTCTGTGACTGATACTTAGGCAAGCCAAATAACAGTGAGTTACGATAGTCCAATTTAGATGTAACAAACATAAATGGGAATGGTAAATTCGCTTGTAATGAATTAAGGTAAATAAGATATCCATCTCAGTCTTTCAAAATAATCTTTACCGTGGATATGGCGCTACCAGAGATCTCTAAATTTTCACCAATTAATTTGAGCACTCTTTCAGGCGACAGAGAAGTAAACTTCGAGAGGACTTCTGTCAACACTGTTGCAAATCCTTGTCTAGCTCCCTTCCGCGAAGAAGCTAAACCTTTTACAAGCCGTTTGACGCTGTATTCCAGCTCATCACAACATAAATTCTCGTCATCATCGTTGGCATTATCCTCTACCTGAAATTGTAAACAAAGAGAGTTTTCCTTTTTTACGTGCTTACAATACAACAGCTGGGTGGCGTGGCTTACAATCAATGTTTAGCTCTTATTCCTTCTGAACTATTCATATCACAGACCCAAAATATTACGCAAGCAAACGTCTTGCATCTACCATGACTAAGAGTCTTCGCAGAGTAAGTACAGAAAAGTTTTTTTTTTTAACCTCAACTTTTTCTTCGTGATGCATTTGAGCTTCGTGTAAAGAATCTAACAGCTGTGAAGCAGCTTTCAGACGCTTAGTTTCGTCAGTTGACGCAAGTTCCCAGAAATGCGAAAGAATATTTTCTGAGGGCATCTTTCGGATTCTCAGTACTGAGCTTTAAAAAATATAGTTTCGATAACACTCATACACGTGCAAGAGCCGCCATTTTCGATCTGACCGAGAGAACCTTGGGAAGAAATGATAAATTTAAGCCAGCAGGCACATAAATCAGCGGCCTCTATGCGTCGCGCCTTTTGCGGTGGAGAGCATAAACTGACCTCCATGTAACACGTGCTCTTCGTGTTCACCGTTCTATTTCTTTATAATGAAATTTCAAGGAATTATTGCAAGTATAAAAGCAGCTAAGAAGAGAGAAATACCGCGGTAATTTGCAACAGATTTAGTAATGCTCTCTTCCAGGGTTCTACAAAGAATCACTAGAGCTCCTTCTCAGGTAAGGCTTACCCGCGAAATCAGCTTTTTACAACTTTCTCCTTTGATCTCTTGATTTGTGTGACATAACTAACCTCACATGTGAATTATATTGTTCCTTTTTTATTTCTGCCCTTTCTTTTTCCTTCGATTTGAAATTTTGGAGGGTCGTAGTCTCGTCGTCACAGTTTGCAGATGTTTATTGGTGATCATTTCGAGTTAATCTCAGATAATTAGTTCAAAATGGCGTACGGGTGTCTATTATATATACCCATGTGCATGCATTCAACTTCGATTGAGCTCAAATTTACTCTAGATCTCTTATGTTTACGTGTAGAAGACTTCTGTCTAACTTTGAGTTCAAGTAAAGGAACGAATGCGAAAGAACTGGAGAAGAGAATTTTAAAAAACCTCAACACTTTAAACCCCAAGTGTGACAAGCATCTAATTTCCTCCCACAATATCACCCTTGAATCAAGCATTAAGGTTTGGAGAATAAAGGAAGTGATCAACAAGTAATAATTTTCTTGATTGTCAAACAAATTCTCCTTGCTAGAACTTTAAGAAATACATAGAGAACAGTATGGAGAATGCATATGCATTATGCATATGCATTATGCATATGCATACTGATGTTAGGGGTGTAAAGGGTTATCTGACTAGTGGTTTTGAAGTTTGGAGATCATTTTGCCTCCCACAAATCGAGAGAATCATAAATGTTCCATGTCCATCTAAATATAATTCAGAGCACACGTCCCCTCATTTGCATTTTCTGCATTCATTTATCACTACCTATATGATGGTTTTATTATCTGTCTATTATTGCAGCCAAGTTTTGCCATCAGAACAATGGCATATGGCTACAGTAGGACAAAGAAGAAACTGCCTGTTAACACAGTAAGTTAAATTGCTGTAACACATCTGCTTAGTAAATGCATTCAGTAGACAAGTAGACCAAAGACTGAGTTTATGAACCACCCACAACCTCAAGCACTGTGATAGAAATGTTGGGGTTAATGTATTTGTAATTAGAAAATGAAAAGTATTTGAAAATGAAGTATAATTGCTCTTGTCTTAATGTAGTCCAGGGTTGTGGTCTAACAGTACCTAGTGACCCCTGACACCCTACTTTTCTTTTTAGGTGGCTCAGGAATGCTAGTTTTTTCATAAAAAGCATATGCTGGGTACCCTGGGTTTCACAGTTTCAGAGCACTGGGCTCCCTTCAATTTTTCTTCAAGCACAGCCTTGTAGTCCCTTCTGATGTGAATAACAACTTTGCAAATACATACTACTAGTCATCTTCAGTTGATAAAGTTAACAGGATAGGCTAATCAAACCAAACTTAAGGCCTGAAAAAGACTAGCTGTATGCAGTTGAAATGTTGCAATCCAGAACAAAAGTTACTGACACTATATCATCAGATATACATGTACTACTTATCTTTATTACAAGCTCATTCTAATCTGATTCTCCAACCACATGAAAGTACAAGTTCTCTTTGCATGTTATGATGCATTTATCTGTCATAGTTTCCCAATGTTTGTGTCCCATCATTGAGTTATTTCCAAAAAGCTTGGCAAGATGTGGTTTACCCAGCAAACAATATTTCTGCACCATGTTTGTTTAGTAAATTTGTAAAAATTCAGCTGAAATTTAGCAAGAGATCAAGGCGACATTTTGATTAAAGTGGTCTCGCATTATTTTCTTGAGTATTGCCTTTTTTTTCATTCTTACTCCTTTGGTGAATGATGTTTTTATTATAGGTCATTAAATTTGTTCCCCAACAAGAGGCTTGGGTAATTGAGAGATTTGGTAAATTTAACAGAATCTTAGAACCAGTAAGTACAAACTTATTATGTGAGAAAAAACTTGGGAGCTTTTATGGAAAACTTTCTGTTACCACAGATTAATAATACATGCACACTCAAATATTGTGTACTTACTTTCTTTCCAGGGCCTCGCCATTCTCCTTCCAGTTATTGATGATATTAAATATGTGCAGAGTCTGAAGGAAATAGCAATTGAAATTCCTTCACAGTCTGCTATCACACTTGGTAAGAATTTTATTTGCTCTACAATATGTACTGTGGGAGGCAGGTGGCCTCTTGGTCAGTGCGATTGACTTCCCATTGAGTGGTCCAGGTTCAAGCCATGGCCTGGGACATTTGTGTTGCGTTCTTAAGCTAAACACTTTACTCTCACAGTGCCTCTCTTCACTCAGGTGTTTAAATGGGTGGCGACAAATTTTAATGCTGGGGCATAACCCTGCAATGGACTAGCATCCCTTGGGGGCGGGGGGGAAGTAGAAATACTCCTAGTCATTTATGCTGCAGAAACCAGAGTTAAGCACTGGCCTGATGGATCACTTGGCTGGTAAGCAGACTCTTTCAGTATGTTCTTAATATCAAGCAAAGAAATGATCCTCACAGTTGAAAGCAATTTTAACAGTTGCAGACAAGAAGTCTGAAAAAATTCAGTCTTCCATGAGATTTGAACCCTTGCCTCACAGATACTACTGTAGTTAGGGGCTACAACCAACTGAGCTATGAAGCCACACCTTGCATGCAAGGCATTTAGAGGGTTCTTCTTTCTTATAGAAGAATTATGTATTATAGGAAATAAGACCTGATTGTACTTGCAGGTTTTATCAGATGATAGAATATTACATTGTTAGTTTCTTCTTTGTTCTATTTGTTGGTTATCATTTTGAAATATTCGTAAACTAGTAACTTTTGATGTAACAACTTGTCTGCATTACAAGTGGGCTTTAAACGTTAAACTTATTTAATATGATTTATTGGTTTTCTTTTCTCACTCTGTATTTACAAGCCACTCTTTGTTAACTTTATAAATTACTAACTGAAGTTTACTCACTGCATTTAACATCATGATTGTTTGTGATAGATAACGTCACCCTTCATCTGGATGGTGTGTTATACCTGCGTGTGGTTGATCCCTTCAAGGTTGGTTTAACATGATTTTACTTCCAGATTGTGGAAATTTCATCTGCTGTTTCACTAAAGTTATTGTGCCATCAGTTGTTATGACAGAGTTAACATTACTGGTATCTTTGACAAAACTACTTTATGTGAAGAGATGGCAATTTCCTCAAGCACCTAATGTAACTTACTATACTGGCCTTAAACCATAGAACAAGACAGCATGGAAGTTTAGTTCAAGATAAAAACTGACCAGGTGTTTGCAGTTAGGAAGTGTCTTTTGTATTTTTTGTTAGGGAGTTTTTTTCACAGTGGTAAGGAACTTTTAGTGGTGGACTTAGGGTAGAAATAGAACTAGTGTTCAGTTTGAATTAAATGTATTTATTGAATTAAATGTATTTATTAGAACAAGTGTATTTATTAGGCAAAGATATTGGCTTTGGCAGAGGTAACTTTTAATGCAGCTACTGCAGCAAACAGTGTATATGTGCTGTGACTGTTTGTGGATTATTTTGGCTGCAAAATTACAAATGTTTGTCGCTATCTTGGTGCATTCTGTGATAATACACCGAGACGAAGCAAACAGATATTCAACCAATCTGAAAATGTTTTTATCATCTTTCTCTTCATGAGAGATGCACATACAAATTGCAAATCAGTCCATTAATTCTGTCTGTTTTTAGTTCAATTACTTCTTTTTCCACGTAACCTTGATATCTTGCAAATTATTACGGTGTGGCATATACGTTAAGAAGTGCCACCTCTGAAAAAGTGCCACCCTCAAATGAGTGCTGCATTTGAGACAGAAAAGTTAATGAGTGCTGCAGCCTTGGAGTGGCAATTATTCAAGTAATTCTTTCACAAGCTGCAATGCTTCATATGCAGTTGAATATCTTGCACATGTGTAGTATGAAAAAGTGAGCTTGATGAAAAGTTTTCAAAACATAAAGATGATTATATGTATGTTTATTGAATACCAGGCTTCTTATGGAGTAGAAGACCCAGAGTATGCCGTGACGCAGTTGGCACAGACTACCATGAGGTCTGAGTTGGGTAAATATCACGCCACCTAAGTTTTAAACACGAAGGTGCGCTATAAAAGGAGCCTTAGGTCCCACTGGACCATTTGTCAATCAACCGTCGTGTGATGTAGAACTCTTAGAGTCAAGTAAGCTTGAGCTACAGCTACTCCAAAGCAGTGAACAGTGGGTGCATTCCTCAAAATTGTTTTATGTCTTCATCACAATACAAGAATTTTTGAGATTTGTATTTCCTTTCTCCAGTGGAAACTGTCTTTATTTGTGGCGGTAAATTTGAGATCGAAGTAGGTGGTTCACACTTTACATCATTGCCACCATGCTGGTGGAAGTAAACAATAGATATCTCATTAGCTCCTTTTGTTCGTGTACCAGCATTTAAATTTGACCTGCACACGTCAACGGTGAGTGACAAATGAGCCTAGGTCTTCCCAGGGAAGACTTCCTTATATAGCGCACCTTCGTGTTTAAGCTGAAAATTTGCCTGTACTTCATATCTGAAATTTCACATTCACTTAATAAGTGCTTCTTTGTCTTGTTATTCTTACATTGCAGGTAAAATAAGTTTAGATCATGTATTTCAAGAACGAGAAAGACTGAATCACAATATAGTGGGTGAGATCTAGTGTCTTTATGGTTGATGCTGTAATCTTGAATACAGGAAAATTTACTAAAAAAAAATGGTCAGCAATTGAATGTGTAAAAAGCGTAATTCTGCTTTTTAATAGATAAATTGTCATACAGTGGCTCAATTACCAATATGTGATAATTATTTGTCATTAAAGTGTATCTATATTTGGTCAAATGAGGTACCCCTACCATTAGACAATTATTACTGACAAACTTATTGTGAGTAAACTACCCCCTTTTGTGATTGTTAAAGTAGATTTATGTGCTATGTCCAAACACAGCAGCAAAAAAGCAGTAGAGAGACCCTTGCCTGTCTCTTGTGAATTTGTAGGTAAACACTTATTTAAGTACATTGCTCATTTATTGCCAATTAATTGGATTGAGAGAAAGGAAAAGAATCCCACTCATCAATGATAATCACATGCATACTTTCAGGTGTGTGTACTGGGTTATTCAAATTTTGAGTTTTAATAGCATCTTTTCCTCATTAGAGGCAATCAACCATGCTGCTGAAGTTTGGGGAATAAGGTGCCTGAGATACGAAATCCGTAAGTGTGTCAATTCTCTTTACTGTTTATCAAAAAAAAAAGTCAGGGTATGGTTAGCTTGTGTTATGATAATTTATCAATTTATATAGTGCGCTTTTTACATACAATGATCAAAAGCACATTACACTTTTGATTAAATTAAAAATTAACAATTAACTTAAACAATATAATATGTCAAACTGAGAATTGAACTGAATATAAAATTGCTCACCGATAAAAAGTTTTAAAAAGATAAGTCTTAATATGCCCCTTAAAACTGTTCACATTAGTGATCGCTCGAAGTTCTTTTGGAAGAGAGTTCCAGAGCCTCGGTGCTGCCACCATAAAAGCTCAATCTGTTGGCAGCTGGATTTTAAATTGCAAGATTAAGATTGAGATTGACATGATGTCAGTGGCCTTTGTGTTGTGCTCTCACATAAGATCATCAACTCATACAATGCTAATCTTGACCAAGGAGCACAAATGGGTAACAGTGTTCTGTCAGTTAAACCTGAAAAATGCACGATGGTTCTTGCAAAGGACCAAGGTCTTAGTGATGTGGAGTAGGCGTGCCCCTAGTAGACATACTGCTAGTCAGGTAGCCTTATGTTATATTATGTTGTCAGTTGTAGTCTGCAGTTTGTTACATCCTAACATCAATATCTAAGTTCTCTATACTGTGCTCCATGTTTTACCTATGGTACTTACAAGGAGAATTTGTCTAACAATCAAAGGCTTCTTGAGTTTGCAATCATATCCTTTATTGTCATGACCGCCTCCCGGTTAGCTCAATGGATAGAGCGCTGGACTGTTGTGCGGGAGGTCGAGGGTTCGAGCCCCGGCTGGACCTACACTCAAAGTCTTAAAATAATTGAGAAGGATATGCTACCTTTCTATAACATCAAGAAATGGTTGGATATTCTAGTCTTCTCGGATAGGGACGAATAAATGGAGGTCCCGTCTCCTGCAGGGTTAGGGGTATTAGACGTTAATTTCCCACCCACGAGATTACTGTGTGATGGATTTCCTCTCCTGCGGTAGGATGGGTGGGTTTGTTGGAGCTTAAACCTTGTAGGGGACCCATGTCCTATTGTTTCTGCTCCTGTACTAGGTACAAATCCTCAAATAAATAAATAAATAATTTGTGATTCAGAGGTGATATTGTTGGGGTTATTAGATGTTTATTGATTGAAAAGTGAAAGGGTTGATGGGAATGTTCAAAAAATATGAGGGCTGTAAAGTTTTTAAGGAAATGCAATAAAATTAATGCCTCTTTTTTTTTTCAGGGGATATTCAGCTTCCGAACACTGTAGTTGAGGCTATGCAGATGCAGGTAATTGTAAACTGCTTCTCATGATACTTAGACCTAAAATTTTAGATGTTATGAAAATATAAGACAGCATAAGATATAGTTATTGTACAAAAACCCGAAAGGTCAAAGACTCCGATCCTCTTCACTTCTCAACAGTGAAGTCAGTCAAAGACCATGAAAATGTAACATGGAAAACTGCAAGTATCAAGCAATTTTTCCGGCATGCATAGCCTAATGTTATACCAGCAGCTACAGCAACAAACAGTTCACCTTTCACCGTGCTGTTTGTGGATTACTTTGCTGCAAAAGTTGAGCAAACTGTTTGTCGCTATCTTGATGTTTTCTGCAATAATGCATCGAGACGAAACAAACTGAAATTACACCAAATAAACAGCACATATGAACAAAACAAATCATTTTGTTTACGATGCCATTATAATGAACACTGGAGATGCACCTTTATCGATGTTGTATAGAAAAGAGACAGGGTTGAACAACGTTACAAGAAAATGGATAAATTTGAAGTATTTGCTGTATTCTATCGGTTCAGGTGGAAGCTGAGAGGATGAAACGTGCGGCAGTGTTGAAATCAGAAGGTAAAAAGAACTACACGTATTTCTAAGGCTGCTGTCGTACCTTCATAAGCAGCATAAGTTTAAGATAATCATTCAATACAAGTGTCAAATGCTATTTTAGAATTCATGTTTCCTGTTTCTTTCTTTCTTTTTTTTTTTTTCTCAATTTGTTCCCGTTTTTATTTAACTTTTGTTTTTTTGCTTTTAGGTGAAAGAGAAGCCGCCATCAATGTTGCAGAAGGAAAGAAACAAAGTCAGATTTTAGCATCTGAAGCAAGGAAGATGGAACAAATAAACATTGCTACTGGTAACTTGCTGCTTCCCATCTTTCGTCGAATTACCAACAAATGAAATTTGACCTACCGGTATTAACTTCTTTCTAATACAGGTGAAGCGAATGCAATTGTTGCAAAGGCAACAGCTCGCGCGGAAGGAATCGAAAAAGTCTCTTTGGCTCTTCAACAGCAGGTGTGTGCGAGTTAGTCTATTTAACAGTCTTGTTTAGTTTGTGTGACAAGGTATGTTACTCCCCATGTATGAGCAAGAAAGTCGTCGAGAACGCAAGAAATCCTCCGGGCCTTTTCCGAGGCTCAAAGGAGAGACCTGTATGTCTGATCATTCCTATCCCTCTTTTTTCTTTCCTTTAGCCCCTACGAGTCATCAGCATCTAATTTCTCATTAAATCTCACCCCTGAGTCAAACAAAAAAGTCATGGGGAATAAGGAAATGATCGCCAACTAAAGAAGCCCTTGATTGTAAAACAAAGTCACCTTGTCGGCACCTTACGAAATGTATAGAGAACAGTATGGAGAATATGCATGCTGATGTTAGAGTGTATGGGTTAAGTAATCGTAAACGTAATCTTATCGTAGTCTATTCTCATGTCATTTACTCTTTCGTCTATCTCGCTTCCAAAGACATTATACACGGTTGCACTTAGTTTTTTTTTTTTTTTTGGTTAGTTATGAGCAGCATTATTCTAGAGGGAAAGTTAGTGATAGTAAAAAAAGAAAAGGTAAGTCTGTTTTCGAGTCAAGTAGCTCGTCAGGCCGGCGCTTAACTCTGGTTTCCGCAGCATGAAGCGACTAGGAGTGTTTCAAATCCCCGCGGAATGGGATGCTAGTCCATCGCATGGTTACCTCCCAGCATATTAAATTCACTGGTACCCATTTAAACACCTGGGCGAAGAAAGGCATTGTGAGAGTAAAGTGTCTTGCCTAAGAACGCAACACAATTTTGCCGTCCAGGGCTCGGAACCCGGAGTACTCGATTGGGAGTCCAGTGCACTAACCATGAAGTCACCGCACTAATTTATTGATCTTATTTCAGTTAGGTGAGAGAGCAGCAACGCTCAATGTCGCTGAACAGTACGTGAACGCATTCTCTAATCTGGCCAAGACAAACAACACGGTGGTGTTACCAGCTAATGTGGGAGACGCGGGTTCCATGGTGGCGCAGGTGAGAAAATGTGTGGTTGTTTCACTGGTCTTCAGACACAACTGTTACATAGACAGCTCATCTTTGGGTTAAATCGTATAGGTTTTGTACTATTTTCAGATGCTCTATCCGCAACTCAGCTTTTCTACTTGCGACTAGGCCCTCGTTGATAGAAGGAGATTGTAGAGGAGTCAGGGCGTCGGGAATAAGTTTGATGGGCGAAGAAACGCTGAAGACGAAGCTCCAATAATAAAGGCCTTCTCCTCCGCATAAACCTATCAGTATCTTTGACTGTCTATTTAGTATTAGCGTCTCTATAACTGTCTATTTATTTGTTTGTTGATTGATTGGTTTTTAACTGGTTTTCCCAGCTATCTTAAGCCTCTATAGCCACGCAGCTCAAGAATCAAACTGTGTTCACTTGGTACCTTGTTAGAGTCCTGGCAGCTGTAAGAGTAGCGGAGTGTCGCTATCTTGCTGTGTGTAGCCGTTGCGCAGTGAGACGAACACACAAAGTCTTTGAATTGTTGATTCATCGCCGTTATTGACCCCGAAACGTACAATGTTGCCTTTTAAAAAAAAAAAAAAAGAAGGGATGGATTCTGGGCTTAATTTCTTGTGATTGGCTATTGTTAACTTCAGACATGGCTTGATGCTACTCTGGTTTAAATATTTAATGAATGTAACCGGGGAATTACAATTCTTAGACCCAACGTTTCGGCACTCCTGTCTTGTGCTTTTATCAGAGCGTTCGTCTAGGCGAAAAAAAAATAGTCGTCATCACGAGATGGACATATAAAATTGTCACAGTATTTCTGATGGTCCATTAATAAGAGGTTCTGCTCTGTTGTTTCGTTGGCTCTTCGGTGGTGTATCTCATTCCTTGTGTTACTTTGCAGGCTTTGGCGGTCTATGGCCAAATCTCAGGGAAGCCAAAGAATGACCCCCCACCCTCTTCCGGTGGGTTAACCGATTCTTCAACGGAGAGTGCGGGCGCGAGCGGCGACCAAACGCAGGAGGGAGGAGACGGGGACACGCAAAATGACAAATTGTCTGCTTCTGCCGGAAGAGATTTTCGGCAGGTCGAGGGTTCTTCAGCGGATTCACACATGAGATGGAACCCAGTCTCTTCTAGAACACACTTCACCGCGGCTTCGTCACCAACTCGCGCTCGGGACTTTTCGTGAATATCCAGCGGCGTTCACGCAATTTCATCAAAAAATTAAGAGTGAAAACAGAACTGCCATGAACCCGTGCACGCTGACTAAATGTGCAGCATTTTTAAGCAAATTATAAGCGCGAGCTAAATAAAGATCTTCAATTAAATCGAAGGACGTTCATTAGAAATAAACAAAGAAATGTTTGGGGGTAGAATACACCTTTTGGCAAGACCGTGACTTAATTCCTCTGGAGATGATAGCATGTCGTTATCCAAACAAATGAGCTTACAAGGTCACTGGGCTAGAGAGTTTCGTGACGACGCTTGAGCACCCGAGTCTTCGACTGAGAGTCAAGAGTAATCTTGGGTTGTGTAGGTAAAACCGATAAAACTTAGACGCTCGCGATATCACGCAACTCACACCACTTTCATTATTTCATAAGCTTCTTTTGATGTCTTTCCTTGTTGCTTTAAAGAGTTTCGGGAGGAAGAAACTCAATGGAAATCGTTGAAGACCTGCAAAGTGCTTAATAAACTTAGTGGAAATTTTGGTTTAAGAGTGTTATCCATTTTTGCATTATTTGTGGAGAAGTCAGTGGCGAGCCAGCTCGAAAGTTAAAGCTATATGGCTTTTTCTTTTTTTCTCATCTTTCTGAGAGTGCGTTCCCTGTCGGACTTCACGATGCGAAGAGTTTAGTGGTCTCGCTGGCGGCTGTTGTTTGGTTTTGGCAGGCAGCATGCTCCATAGACGAAACCAACGTGTTGCGTCAGGTTGCCCGCATTGAGTGATGGGATTAAACAGCAGGACAATTTTAAGGAGGCGATGAGTTGAACTGCTTTCAAACAATAATCTGCCCATCCCCAATAATCTCTTTGCAGCTGGTAATCACCGGACATTGTCAGTCTAGAAAAAAATCTTGAACAGCTCATCAAAAGTCTGTAGATTAAATAAAAGGAAAAAAAAAATTGAATACACAGACGTGCTGAATACCCATGATAAACTCATGACAGGAAATGAAAGGAAAATATTCAGAGGAAAATCGTTAAGTCTTGTCAACTACCGTTGGTCAGAGTCTTAGTCGAGAATTAAGAGTCATAGATGGATAATGGGATTTACAATTTAAATTTCAGTCAAGGTCTTTCAGTACCACTCGTCAATCCCCAGAGGCTCAGTAAGTAATCTTTATAACCCTTTTACTTCTTTAAAGTTGCCCTCAACGAGTAAGGCGAGTCCATAATTGGAGAACGCAATAGCATGTAGCAAATTACTTCCGATGAAAGGTCTTAAAAAACCTAAACTTCAATCCAAATAATATTTTTGACATCGCAAACAAGACCAAAATCTTAGTAATTCAAATTTCATCGTGTCAATTGATTTGTTTCGATATTTGAATGCTTTTGCGTCGGTTAAATTTAGGACTGATGAACTCTTGAAACTGCCGACAACTTAAAATAGTTCAACTTTACTTGTAAGCAACACCAGGTAAACTATTTACGGCTATTACAAACTAATGGTCAGAGCTGTCTGAACCCTCCTTCAATCTTTTGTTCTCCGTACTTAATTGCCTTTCAAATGCAAACAAAGGATCTGTAAACTTGTCGGCCAATATTTTTTGGTCACGGTTTATTGCGGTTAGAGGGCCGCGGGATACTTTAGGCGCAATTCTGTGAATTTTGTAAGATCTCTCGATCACGGAATAGTTTTCAGGGTGAGATAAATGTCTTGACCTTTCGTAGAATCGAAGAAAGAAAGGTGAAATCTCAAGATAGAATCGAGGATGACACATATTTGAGTTATTATTGTATCAGTTAACACAGTTTCAACGCAGTTTTCTTAACAGAAGTTCCGCCGCGCAGACAGTCAAGGCTGACACTCGAGAGGTAAACAGAACAGTGAAATTCTTGTATTTTGAAGTTTCTTTAATCATTATAATTTTTGCCGGAGATAGGTGATACTTGATAATTTTAGTTGTACTTGTGTTAAATATGAACTGTGCATAGTTTACAAACTCTTAGCTTAGACAAGCTATTGTAAACACTAAGGTCGGTCGACATATTGCTGAAATCTCAACGCCGCCAAATCTCGTGTAAAACGTATAGTTTTCGGAATGTCTTTTCAACGATCTTTGAAACAATGTTTGAGTTAATTTTTGAAGGGATCGTCCTTCGTATTTAAATCGGTTCACAAACTTTCAAAAGCCATCTGAAGCAATGAGTCAGCGCTTAATTAGTTTACAAAAATTCGACCACGAATTCGGGAGATGTGTTCAAAATAGTTCAACCATAGTTCACTTTAATCGGCTTTATTGAAAATCTCTTACAAAGACTTTGATTTAGGGTAACACAACAGACACACTTTTGTCTTCACTGGACGGACAAAGGCAAATGAATAATACATATCTGATGTCTTAAATCATAATATTTCTAATGAGTCTTTCTTATTCTTTTCTAACTCTGAGAGTGACACAATTGAAAAGCCGATGACTGCCACATAAGTTGTGGGGATGTTAACAACTCATTTAGTATATTGCCTGTGAATATCGCTTCATATAGAACTCTTGGGAAACGAAAGCTGAGGTCGACGGTATTTTTTCATAAGCTTCATTTCATTTTAAGCCTTTTATCTTGAATACGATGGTATAACAGCGCCTTGTTTGCGCAGTACTTGAACTCTCAGACTGATTTCAAGGGCTAGCATAATTATTTGCAGTGTTTAGTGCTTCGTCCTTAGTGAGTATGCCTTGTTTACATTGGCTGAATTTCTTGTCAAAATCAATTCAACTCCCATAGCGTACTTTCAATAAGCAGTAGGCAGTCTTTGGAGCTCCGCTTTCAGGCGTGGCGGTTTGTTTCTTCATAGTTTAGCGATATTTGAGTACATGTGCTATTCTTTGCAATGAGCGCGTCAAGCCTTGGACGCAAAGTGAGTTGAAAACGACAAATCCAGTGAATAAACAAGTAGATAAGTAGAAATTAATTGTGTTGTGTAATTATGAGAGATTCTTTGTCTAGAAGGAATTATGTGAAAGGAATTACAATTCTTTTCTTTTTCTTTTTTTTTTCGATGTTTCAATGCCCTTAGTCTCAAAGTAACATAATGAGAAAGTACCCCGAAATTTATCAAGAACGTGCCCAGCTAAAAATATGAACAAGGACAAAAAAAAGCTCATCAAAATGGCTCAAAGCACGATTAAAAAAGAAGAAAAGAAAACGAAGCATGATTATCTAAGGCGTTCAGTTTTTAAAGAAACTGGTGCTGCGTCAGTGAGGGATATTATTAGACAGTTTTGTTTTATCAACTGAGTTGTTACTGTTAATTGGCCACCGTATTGCGTTTCTAAAGCTGTACGTCGTTTTAGACGTTAGGCCTTCGTCATACGCTCTGAGAAAGGACAAAACGGTCCGAAACTTTTGGACATAAGCTTTAGAAATAATTTCGATATATCAACAAAGTTGAAATGGTAAATTGACCACCGTAACGATTACAAAAGCTGACGTTTCGAGCGTTAGCCCTTCGTCGGAGCGACGCTTTTCATTCCACTAATTTATTCTTGTTTTTCTCGTTGCCATGTTCCCACCAATAACGTAGCTCCATTTTCTGCCTTGAAAAGCACACACAACCTACAATTCCTCTATTCGCTCCGACGTTGTAATCGTTAAGGTGGCCAATTTACCATTTCAACTTTGTTGATATATCGAAATTATTTCTAAAGCTTATGTCCAAAAGTTTCGGACCGTTAATACATCCAAATTATTTCGTTACCCCCACCGACGCAGCCCCAAACAGTTTCTTTCGAAACTATCAGCCTTTATTCATAAGCTTTAGAAACTCTTTCAGACTGTGACTAATTTACATTGCGATGCTCATCCAAAGTTTTTGTCCTCTTCCAGCTTATGGATAGAAGCAGTTCGTCTTTCAATCCATGTTTAAAAAAATGACTGGCCTCTTGGCTTCACCAACAAGCCGCTCACAACCGGAGAAGGTCGCCGAAGTCTTCTTCCTCGGTATCCTGTTTGTGGTAGCTTTCGTGGCAAACAGCACCATATGTTGCGCCATGCTACAGCCCTACCGTTTAAAGACACCTTCAAATCTGTTCCCATTCTCGTTAGCAATCGCCAACCTTAGTTTAGCCCTCCTGCACACTCCTTACACCATGGCATCGTTAATCATGGACCAGTGGCCATTTGATATCGCATGGTGTCAGGTATCTGGCATGCTGATAAATTTGGTATCAATGGCGTCCAATTTTTCGATAGTACTTATTGCAATTCATCGTTACTATCTTATCGTCAAGCCTTTATCTGACACAATAAGTATTCGCCAAGCAAAAAGAATGGTGGCATTTGTGTGGTTCACGGCATTAGTGACCTCTGTTCCACCCTTGTTCGGTTGGAGCTCATACAGATACATTCCTGGTAAAGCTTTTTGCTCAGTCGATTGGCAAGATGGTGGACCAGACCTGGTATATTCTGTATATCTCGTGGTGGTTAGTTTTCTTGTCCCTCTCGGGATTCTTTTCTACATCTATCGTGCCATTTATTTGAAGACAAAGCGTCAACGAAAAAAGACGGACTACAATACACTTCGTGGACTGAGTGATAACGGCGTTACGTATCAACATTCGCAAACTCTGTGCCAGAAACTGGCATGTTGTTTATCAAGGGACGTTTCACAAGGCAGTAATTCCTCTCCTTCTATGTCGGAAAGGGGAAATGTCTCTTCGCCGGCCACATCGAGGTCATTTTCTTCCGAGCCATCTCCCTCGAGCAGAGACAACACCCTCCACAGGGAAGAGATGAGAAGGCGAAGAGAAGTTATAACGCAAAGTTTAACGCGCCAGAGTTCCATTTATGAGCAGAAAACGGTGCAGAATGCTCTTATTCTACTTTTAACTTTTGTCATTAACTTAGCACCCTATTATATTGTTGGTATTTGGTCGGGTGCTTCTCAGAGCACCGCTTCCAACGGGTTAGATTTCATTGTGACATTTTTGTTTGTCTGCATGACAGCTTTCAATCCTATGCTGTATGGTTTTTTTAATCGCCAAATGAGAAGAGTCGTTCTCAAGTCAACGATAGGCCAGTTTCTTTGTCAGCTAAGTAGATGCTGCGAGACCGATTCAGACACCAGGCCCGACAGAGCCACAACTAGACGGGGACAAAAAAGCCTGGGCCCGGATTCCGAATGTTAATAGGGTTGGGGAATAGGAAAGTGTTTACTTCTAACTTATTCTTGATTCAGCTCAAGTCTAAAACAACGAAGAAGAGAATTTTCGATTAAAGATCAGATGAACCATTGTAGAGAAATCATAGAGGATATAATTTACAGATTATAAATACAAGTACATTAGATTGAAGATGCAATGGAAGACAAATAGCTATAAAGTAGTTATTTATTTTCAATCTACTATTTATTAAAGAACGACCAAATGTTCTGAAAAATGACTTGCGTGCAATTACTTTCAGGTAATGAGTTTTGTCCGTAAACTTCTGTATCAACTTTGTTGATATATTCAAATTATTTCGTTACCCCCACCGACGCAGCCCCAAACAGTTTCTTTAGAAACTATCAGCCTTTATTCTTCTGTAAAATATGGTTGAAAATTTTTCCTTTGCTCGGCGTTAATGAAAAATTATACGAGCTTTCATTCGACTAAGCTATTTGTTCAAAAACTGGCATGCCCGTGTTAAAGAAGGATGGAAAATCTTTTTATAGTCAAACCTTTTTTTGAAAGCGGTCACCCTCTCAATGCAGGTTGACCGCTAAATATAGTACAAAAACTCGTTAAAATATACTACCAACCTTAATTTTGGAAGAGAAACATGGATTAGATTTTACTTGAAAGATTAAGCTTTGTTCTGTTTGAGTGGTTCCGCTTTGAGTGACCCTTCAATACAGGGGGAAAAAACAGAAGGGAAGACAATACAAACAGGCCGTTAGAACTCAGTCAAAGGTGACCGCGACCGCTCAATAGAGGTGATCATAACTATGAGGTGACTAATAAATAGAGGTTAAAAATGGGACTTTGACAACCGACCGCTTAACTGACAGGATGACTGCTTAATACATTGCTGCTTGGGCCTTTACAGATTATGCTAGCATAATTTTTGGCATAATTTGAGCAAACTTTCTGCCAAGTAGCAATGCTAGCATAATTTGCATATTTGGATAATTATCGGATCATTTTTGATGCTACAATTTGATCATTTTACATCTCTACTTCCAAGCACTTGGTGACGTTATTCAATTTTTTAAGTTTTAGTTCAAGTAGTAGCATTTTTAGTTCACTGCGAATCACTGAGCGGCGTATGAAACGTTCTGAGCCCAGGTCTGGGGAGCACCGGAACCGGAAATCACATTGTAGGCCATGTATCATCTAGTACTAGTACGCATGTTAACATGAACCAAATGTTTATTAGAATTTCATTGTGGATTTGTTGCGTTTCTTTCCTGTAGACCAACGGCTTCTGATTAAAAAATGAATTTTTTGGACTTATTTGCAATTTTTTCAAAGAGCATACAAAAAAAGGGGCATAATTTGGGAAAAAAGAGCATAATTATAGCATAATTTCGCCAAAAAAGCAATGCTACTAGCATAATATGCTACTTTTACTAGCATAATCTATAAAGGCCTAGTGTTGCTCACTATAGGTTTGACTGTAGTTCTTTTTTCGATGTCAGGAAAGACCTGTCTATAAGGAGGGAGGGGAGATGTTTGGTGCAATCCTGCTCAGTACTCAAGCAAAGCAAATCTATGTCTGTTCTCTCCACAGCAGTTAGTGGAACGTTACGTTCCACTTAAATCTACATTAGCCATCTGTTAGACTCAGCGGTGGAGGCTCAACAACCACTCACAAACTAACCTGCCGGCCTGAAATACCTCTTCTAATCCTTGAACTAATCCCTGAACCGAAAGAAAGCTATAAAAATAAAATGCCCGTGCCTGTGTTACCGTGCACGTCTTGCTGAATTAAGCGAAGAACTTAACGGAGCTTGCGCTAGCTGTACACTTTGGCTCCTCATTCTGCTACCCCTTCTTCCCGGGGACAAGGACCTTGATGAGTTCACCGGGGGTGCCAGTTGGTTTTGTTTAGGCCTGGGTGCGAGTGAAGCTCTCTTTCCACGTGCCACTTCAGCCTGAAGTCTGCTTGGGGACTCTCTTGTTGCTGAGCGGATTTTCTCTGGTTTTGGTGGCGGTGGATTGAGCCGCTCTGAAAAAAAAAAAATAAAAAAAACCGTAAACATTTGTAATGAAGATGCGTAGTGAAAAACCAAATGCTGAATGGAACTAATTTGCTCTATGTAATCTGCTAATCCTTTCTATCCTGGTTATCCTAAAGTCATCCTTCTTCAATTACTTTATTTAAATGAGGCTTTTTTTTTCATCGTTGTTTGCTATCGGTGTATTTTTTTTTTAATAATTTTTTCCCCTTTAAAAGAACTAGTAAAACCTTCAATTTATTCCTTTTAACCTTCATGAAGACTAAGAGTGATCAGCATCTGAATTCTCCTTGCAATAGCACTGCTGCATCATTGATCAATATCATGAGAATAAGGAAATAAGAAGCTTTTATTGTCGAGTACATTCTCCCGGTAAGTAGCATAGCAAGGAAATGTATAGACAAGAGTACTTAGGGTATGCATACTGATACTTGGTTGTGAAGAGATAAAGGTCAGTTTTTCACGACACACAAATTACACCGGGTATAAGGAGTCAGTTTCTTCACAAGGAAAGGAAAACTTAATGAGTGCCTCCCTCGATCAAGCACCCGCCTTCAAATAAGCGACCCCTTCCCCCCTTCCCCCGTCTCACCGCCCCCAACCCTTTAAGTCGGAATTTTAAATCAGCGCCCGGGCGTTATTTCGAGGAAATACGTTGTTTAGGTTACCTCCGATACTATATATATGCTGTTTGTAGGTCTCTAATAAACTCGATGCTAACTCGTATAAAGTGCGTCTTGGTCCGCACGTTTTCCCTGGCTTTCAAGTGGACGTTTAAACGTATTTAATTATTTCTGATAGGCTGCTTTGACTAGTTTAGTTTCGGTTTTTCGGTATTCAGTCAAAAACCCTACTATGAAGCGTCACTTTCCTAACTACTTACCTAAAAAAGCCTTATTTGTTTCCATTCCTTCCAATAACGGCACAAACGTCATATTTTCTCCATTTGTTTCTGTTGCAAAAGATGAGGAAAAATTGAGGTATCGAGTAAACTACGGCTTTAAAGTCGAAGAAGAATAAACACAGTTGTAAGGGGAAAAATGCAAAACTTACTCTCTCCTTTTACAAGAATAAGAATCTCTCTTTCGTTCAAGTATTTTGTCCCATAATCCATTGGGTGACTTTGAAGATTTTTCAGCGAACCACTCTCATCAGATAGGTCGATAAAATCTGAAGGAAAATTTCATGGCGCCGTTAGGTGGTAAATTCTTCCGTTCCGGATCTAGCTCTGGTAACAAACTAATCTTTAACCAACGAGTGAATATAGAGCATACTTGACTAAGCTCAAATAAAACGAGAACTTTCCGAATGAATGGCGTAAAACCAAAACCAAGTTATTGCTTTTAGATTTAGTCCCTACTTAAAAAAAGTAACACATCATGGCCGTGGTGTTATCGAAGGATTTTTGTTAGTCAAGGTATTATAGATGTTGGGTAAGGAATACCGGCATCAAATATGGAAAATGATCGCAAAAGTGACGGGCCCAGGTAGCCAAGTGCTATTTGCAAACTAACCTTACTTCAAGGGTAACTCTTAAGGTATTCGTCGCAATTCTTTCGATTTTATCCAGTTCCTTTTCTTACCGTACATCATTTTCGCACGTGTCATTAAATAAATTTTATGAACTGTACATGTATTGATCGTCAAGCGCGATCCTATTCTACTATCAAAATCTTTCCTTTATCTAACTCCCTTAATCTGCTACAAATTGGGTAACCTTTTAGGAAGAGAAACAACTGGCGCCTTTTTGTGATCAATTTCCTTTTAAGGTATGTTGTTAATGGTTCAGCGAAGAAGAAACCCGATTGTCATTAACGCGCGCGAAAACCGCAGAAACGGCAATACGTAGTTTTCCATTTGCTTGAGTATTATTTTTAACGAGGCATCCCACCGAAGACACTAAATTTAGGTCACGCATATATTTGAGTGAATTTCCGACGAATTTTCTGAATTCTATGACGTGTAAATATTGACATGAGTCTCAGCTGGAGTCGAGACAATTTCAAAGTTTTGCATCTCTATTATGCTTTTAGAGAGAAAAGAAATAGTTAGCTCGTTTATCATACTTACCATCATCTTCACAATCACATCTTTCCTTGATGTTACTCAGCAGTAGACTATTTCTACAATTTGGGTTGAAAAGTTCGCTTTTGTCATCTGAAAAAAAATTTAGTTGGTCCAACATTTCAAGAAAAATTAGAATATAAATATATTTGAACTAAAAGGTGGCAATTGACTTAGTAATCTTTCAAAAAGTCTTTCACTCATTAATAATGTTTCTGGTGCGTGAACAAAGATTTTTAACGTAGGTGCGAGGATAAATTTATTGGTGTAATTTCTCTGACAATTCACTACATTATGATTAAGCCGAAAGGTAAACACATCGGGTTTCTTCCTAGTAAATAGAACATCTATTTACGCTCGAGGAAATGACTTAATTTCCATATCGGACGGTCGCATTTCCAATATAATTTCATTTTTCTGATTCAAAAACGGAGCTGAGAAACCTTTGGTCGCAGTGTAACTGTAAAGAATCCCCGAATAATCCTTGAAAAAAGTCCTTAAGTACTTCAAGAAAAAATTCATTGTTCAATTAAAGCCTTTTTAGGTTATTCACCCGCCTGTGGAGCACAATAAAGCATTTTGTTCCTTTAGCCATTTTTGAAAAAATTCTCAATTGCGTTTAATGCATCATCTTGAAATGATGATCCCCTTTGCGCTCAAGACTTTCCCATGCGGTTCTTTTCAGCAGCGCAATATGTTAACCGTATTTTTGCAAGTAAGTTGATATTTATAGGTTAATGTGCCAGAAAATTTCACCAAACCTGCAAATTTCACTGTTATGAACATGTTGCGGGGACTGGCTTGAATCGCTGTTACGAGGGAATCACTACGGGTAAAAGGAAATGACAGGCCCAAGCGGATTCCTTGTTTCTTTTCTCTGAGGAATACTGCTAAAACATAAAAGACGCCTTACCGCCAATGTTTGCCTTGGAAACGTGAATTATATCCAAAGTTTCTGCACCTGCTATTTTCAGCCTCGTTCTCAGGGTTGAAGCCCGGAGCCAACCGTCACTCTTAAAAGTCTGGGTCGAGAAACAGTAGTAATGGCCGCTATGGCTGCTGTCACTTGTAGGTTGTCCATCAGCTGTGAATCCTGAAGCATTCTGCCGTTGGAAGTAGCACTGGTCTCAATTAGAGTAAACTTTTCAAACGTTTACAACAGATTAAGAAATCTATTAGCGCCAATGGCGGTTTTGCACGCAATCTGGCAAGATATAAACAAAGAATTCGAAGTTTGTTGTGGCGTTGGAGGAAAACACCAACATATGTATTCTGTGTTCTTTATAGATCATACGGCATATGACCGCGAATGGAGGATGAGAAAGGGAAAGTAGAAGGTTCGGCTAAAGAACTTGAAGCTGCATCTTTGAAAAATGACAAGATCGCTGACCTGAACAATCATATAACCGAGTTAAAACGCGAGCTGGAGGTAGTGAAGAAGAAACTTCGCAAGTCTGAATTTGAACGCGAAAGCGCACAAAGGAGTGTGGAAAATCTCAAAACTGAAGTGAGAGATTTAGGCAAAAAGTTGCAAGAAGAGAGAAAGAAGACTTTTGAGGGAAGAAATAAAAGCAACGATCCGGCACAGGCGAAAAGAACGACACAAGGTTTTATGCCAGTTGTATGCTTGTTTCTAATTAACAATTTTATTGGTTCATGCTTTAGCGTGCACTATCGAGTTATGGAGCACGTGGGAAGTTTGGAGAGCACTCAAGAAGCTAGAGTTGCCCTTGGCTATTGCCTCGGGCAACTCTTACGCTTCTTTCGTGCTCTCCAAACTTCCCGCGTGCTCCATAACTCGATAGTGCACGCTAAAGCATGAACCAATTGTTAATTGGCATGCAGCAGAGTCTGTGGGAAAATGAAAGAAGGATGGAGGATCCTAGAAAAACATTTATTTCTGTTCAAAGCACTTTGAGACATTGCTTTACAGCCAACTTTTATTATAATGTTTTGATNTATCAGTGTGCACTATTGGGATTTCAACACGCTTACTTATATTGAATTTGATTGTGTGGCTCTGCTAGCTATGTTCTAAATGGATATACACCTTTTCTTTGAAAGTGAGGTGGTGGTTAGTCACTGTAGTTAATACACTGCTACTGAAGTATAGTTATGTTCATAATAATGCAGTAAACTCCGATGTAGATTGCAACTGAGAGTCTACTTAGAGTCCTCTATCTTCAGGCAATGAGGTGGACTGGATACTCGTGTTCTGCAGTGGAAATGTTGCCATCCACATTGGAAGTGACCACATAATGCATACATCATGACACAAACAATTTGGCTTCATTACAAATATCTTTTCTTTTCTTGGCATCACTTGGTTAGAGATGTAAGGTAACAGTTTTCTAGGCAAAGTTAACCTCCCTCTGGTATATGAGTTGGAGTATGCTGTATGCTGAGAAATCAAAAAGATGTCATGCCAGGCTTTCAACTTTGTAACTTCTAAAATATTGTTGTGCAGAGGCTTCAATTGACTGTAACAAGAAGAAAAGCTGGCAATCAGAAGATCATGGAAGCAAGGTAAAAAAGTGGTTCTCTGTATCCCATTTCAATGCTCTCAATAAGATTTGAAATAGGTGGCTACCTCGGTACAACACCCGCCAGAAAGAGACTTGATTGCGACTTAGCGTTGTGACTGTGACTTGAGCGCGGTGAAATATACCGGGCGATTCACAACAGAATACCCGCCGGAGCTCCGGCGGGTGCCGGGTCTTATTGAAAGCACTGCATTTCCAAATTACCTTTGGCTGCTCTTTCAAAGTGAGTCATGGTGCACTGACAGTGTTTCATATGATTATAAGTTTTCATTCACTTGTAAATTAAACTCATTTTCATATATGAAGGTTGAGCACGAGGCCCCATTTTGAAAAACAGGCCCAAGGTAACTCAGAAATGGCCTGTTGGGCTCTTAATATTCAAAGAAGAATGGCTGAAAGTGCAGCACTGCTGCTGACACACTTACCACTCACATTTTTGTGAGTGATAAAGTGAGTGTATTATTATGTAAAAGTTATGCCTTTCTTTTTACTCTGTAATGTTAAATTTTTCTCCAGGACCTCAAAGAATCACTAGAGCAAGCAGCTGCTGATGCCATGACCCTCAGTGGATTTGTGTATGACAATCGGACAGGATTATATTATGACTGGAATACAGGTTACTATTATGACCCAGTAAGTTCTGGAGCTTGTAGTGACTTGATATTTTGAAGGCAAATGTACTGCTCAAATTTGACTGAAAAGAAGTACATAGGTTGTCTAGTGCATAGCTGTGAGTTTTAACAGCAAACTCTATTTTGAAGATCTCAGATGTTTTACAAGATATTCACACAACAGGCTTTATTAATTTTGTACTGTAAGATAGTGATAGCAAGCTGTGGTTAAAAAGTTTTTTTATACTTACAGATACGTTTTCTCTCCTAAATTTATAATATTCAATATAATTTAGTTTTAATTTAATTTCACTTATTAGATTCACCGACAGGCAGGGACACCGCAACAGCTTGTGCCAATTACATGCGGGCCCAGTAAACCCACCCACTGATCCCACCCCAGGGGAGGACAACCACCTGACACAGTAATGTCGTGCATGGGAAATGAACATCTCCTACCCCTAACCCTGCAGGAGATGGGGCCTACAGTTTATTTGTCGTTATCTGAGAAGACTAGAATATCTATCCATTTCTTGATATTATAGAAAGGTAGCAAATTTTCCTCAGTTATTTTAAGACCCTGAGTGTTGGTCTGGCCAGGGCTTGAACCCTCGACCTCCCGCACAACAGTCTGGCGCTCTACCAATTGGGCTAACCAGGGGGCAGTTGAATATAAAAGTAAATAAAAATAAAGCAAGGATATATCACAAATCCACTTTCTTACTTTTTGTATCATCAGATACAATGAAATATATGAAGTTCATATATTTTGAACTGCGGTATTAGATACGTATGATGCACGATCCTCGCAGTAGATAGCGCTATTTAAGCAATAGCGAAAATCAGATCTGAAAAAAATCAGGCCTGTACGGGATTCGAACCACTGACCTCTGCGATACTAGTGCAGCGCTCTACCAATTGAGCTAACAAGCCAACTGGGAGCAGGCCGTTAAGTTGATTCGTAATAAACCCGTGAAAGTGATAAATCAGATACAATGAAATATATGAAGTTCATATATTTTGAACTGCGGTATTAGATACGTATGATGCACGATCCTCGCAGTAGATAGTGCTATTTAAGCAATAGCGAAAATCAGATCTGATAACTTCATATATTTCATTGTATCTGATGTATCACTTTCACGGGTTTATTACGAATCAACTTAACAGCCTGCTCCCAGTTGGCTTGTTAGCTCAATTGGTAGAGCGCTGCACTAGTATCGCAGAGGTCAGTGGTTCGAATCCCGTACAGGCCTGATTTTTTTCAGATCTGATTTTCGCTATTGCTTAAGTAGCGCTATCTACTGCGAGGATCGTGCATCATACGTATTTTTGTATCATGCAGTCTAACTACAGCTGTCTGCCAATTGTTGTATATATTTTGTATCTTCTATTGAAAGATCTTTGATTATATGTCCTGAATATGTCTAATAATTCATTACATTTGTGACATCCATGAAACTGTTAGTCTGAAATTAAAATGATAAATTTATAATTTGTCATTTATTTTCAGAATAGCCGTCTGTACTATGAAAACACTACAGGAATCTATTACTATTATGATGAACAAAGTGCCACTTACAAGTTTCACTCCAGAGTCGATTTATCCAGTAATCTAGAAGAAGCAGCAACAAAAGAAATAAATAATGATAAGGATGAAAAGGAGAGTGGGGAAGAAAGCAGTGATGATGAGGAAGAAAATGACAAAGATTCAGAGAGTTAGTTCTGCTTTAATTATAAATTATCAAGAGTACATGTAGGGCTGTCTTTAAAAGGAAAGTTTCCTTAGAGGTGCAATGAGGTTATATGGGTGATGGTTGCATGTGCAGTGTAGGTTACATTCTCATAAAACTGGACAAATTTTCACTGGTTAAAAAAATTGGCCTGACATTGACAAAATTTTAGATACAGCAGTGATAATTTTTACACTGCACAATCTAATTTTATTCCACTACCATTCTAGGGAAAGGCTAGAAAGTACATTAAAACTATCAAAGTTCTTTTTTTTTTGCATGTGCTACATACATTTACAAATATTATGAATCAACTAAAATTAATTGTTAAGTTTTTTTTTAGCAGTAACTGAGGTGCAGTTTCCTTGCATCAGAGCCATTGTGATCAAGTCTTTGAAAATGAAAGTTGGGAGACTCTTTATTGTGACTTGTACTGGAGGAACTATTGGCAGGTATGTGTCAACAACAATTCATTGGTCACCTTAGCACCTTAAAAACAGTATGTACTAAACACCAGATGCAGTTATCTGCAGGATTAGTTTTCTAAGATTTCTTTCAGTTAAACAACACTTGATGTCTCAACAAGTTCATCGAGTTCTAACACTTGATGTCCTTTTAGTTGAACAGAAGCTTTTTCAAAGAAGTAAATAATCAACCACTAAAAACTTTGATACACTAAGGTGGCTTATATTAAGGAATCTTATGTTCTGTTTTAAACTGTCGTCAAATGTCTTGGATGGGCTGTGCAATGTAACGTAATTTGGAATATGTATTAAGATTAAAGATTATGATACAGTAGAAGGTTGACACTTAAGTGAATACAGTAACTGTATAAAAACTTTATGTAACTGTTTGAAATTCTGAGATTTATCATCAACTCTCTGTGTGGCGTTAGTAGAAACCTTTGCCCTATTACTAAATGTACTTTTTAAAATTTTTTTCTGTTGTGGTCAACTGTCATAGAGAAAAAGACATGTCACATGTTATAAGACTCCCTGATGTTGAAGTCAGCAAGGTATGTACAACTCATTTGTTTTCAGTGCTAAGCAAACATCTAAAGTATCATTGTTTTGTTGGTGCATTCACATTTTTTCATGATTTGTTCAGCTGCAGTGTAAGATTGAGTTTGACAAAGAAAGGAGACAGTACTTCATCTGTGATGTTGGAAGTAGAAATGGAACATTGCTGAATGGATCACGACTTTCCGAGGTAATCACTCACCTGTATTTAACAAATGGTAAACACCACAGCGTACACTAATGAGTTATGGATGCACGCGGGAGGTTGCTAAGCACGAAAGAAGCGTAAGAGTCGCACGAGGCGATAGCCGAGAGCGACTCTAGCTTCTTGAGTGCTTAGCAAACCTCCCAAGTGCATCCATAACTCAATAGTGTACGCTGTGGTGTTTACCATTTGTTTTATAACATAACATTGATACATTGTAGCTAAAGAGTTCCCTTTTATTTAACAAATCTTACGTGACCAGAAAAAACAAGCGCGCGCGGAAAAATAGTCTTTGCATTTGCTCACGTCAGCAGCGTACACCCATGGGCAAATGGGGGACGCTAAATTGACCAATCAGAGCGCGCGCTTTACTTTGGTTATGTTATAAT